ATCTGTAAAAAATATATAGACACGAGGTATTAAATAAAATAAAAGAACCGAGCGAGAATTTATAGTGATGAAGTTAGATAAAAATAAAGTTGAGAAACGGTGAAATTTTTCGTGTAAAGTGGAGCACGTCCTTTACGAAAGAACTTTACGAAAAATTTCGAACTGTTCGCGCGCGATATTCGAAAATTAAGTAGACCGTGAAAATCGTAGTAACAGCTTGAGAACGAGCTGGAATTTTCTTACGGGTCGGCAGACTATAAAAGTAACAAGTCACTGATGCTTTCAGGTCGCTGCCCGCGTATCTGACGTGTTTTAAATATTTCTCAATATTCTTTTACCTGAACGAAGCTCTTTCCATAGTTTATTGGTCACAAGTAGATGCCATCGGTGAGTAAATTGCATTCTTGAAATGAATTACATCAATTCCTTGCGAGTTCTTCGATATCCTCCGAAGAATTGTTCAGAAATATAGAAGGATGTTCTCTTCAATTTTATTCCAATTTTGATTCTCTTTATTTCCCAAATGATTCGATTTAGACTTTAGGTTTATTAAAATTCAAGGCATTTGACTAGAAAATTAACTTTACTCTCGTGTCGAATTTCATTTCATTTGTTACTGGAATTTCGATTCGATCTAAATTTTCGGTCTGTTGAAATTCAAGGCATTTAACTGTAATATTAACTTTAATTTTGACTCTATTTGTAGTTAGATTCTAAGTTTATTAGAATTAAAGGTTTAATTATGAAATGATTGAAATTTCGTAATAAAACTTTGCAAATAATTGGATATCGATGGATATTGATTAATGTTGATAAAAAAAATTTTTTTGTGTGTAGTTGGTATTGTAAATTAAAATTTACATGCGACTGCGTTCTCTTTCGAAAAGATTTAAGTGACTTATTTTGAGAAACCGTGACTTTCACATAGTCGATCGAAATTCTAAAATTTAAGATAAAACTTGACACTTAAGCAGTGGCTATAGTAATTTGTATCCTTTTGCAAGAATTTAAAGTTAAACTCTCCCTATGAACTTACTAATCAATTATTTATAATTATAGTTATAATTATTATAAATTATATATTATAGAATTACTTCTTCGAGACACTGAAGATTTAACGATTTAATTTAAGAGACTAATGATTCTCATAATCGATCGAAACTCCGCTCTGATATAAACTTAACGTAACTAATTTTCTCGACGAGAGTTCAGATACGATTAAATATTAATTTAATTCGACTAACTTTCTTTTAGACTGTCAAGCATCCAGTGATTTCCCCTGTCTACGAAACGGCGAGCAAGTACTCTCGGAATATGGATTCAAGAAGGCGAATCTTATCTGGGATTTCAGCGGCCTTCTATTCTTAACAATCGCGATGAATGTTCTTGGATACATTGGTCTACGAAGGAGAAGGAAAATTAGAACGTTGTTGTAAATAACAATGAAATAACAGTGAAATAATTTATAACAAACGTATGATACATATCAATCTGTTGATAAACTTACGTTTAACTTGTATAACTTACGTGTCTTACAATTATCTTACACTATATAAATATTTATTAATAACAGCGTTGACATCGATTATTCGCGAATTTGTTAATTTAGCGAGATCAATTCGAGAGCGAGATATCCAATTCATCCTCTGGTCAATTATAAATATAAAAAAAAAAAAAAAACGACGGTACAATAATAAAACGTTTTGTGCATTCTTCGAGGTACCCAGACTTTCCTCTTTCAGAAAGAAACACGAATTTAAAAATACACGTATGTGAAAAACTGGAGCGAAGCTGGATTTGGGTTATTTCTGTTTCGATATTTTTCGGTAAGCGTTAGTCGTTGTTAGACTGTAGATTCGTGTGCATTTATAAGAAATTTTAAAATCAAAATTGTTACACAAAGAAAGCAAATTACGCGGGAATAAAATTATACTGTACGAAAATAGTTGTATATAAAACATCTAAAACATGTTACTTTTTTTATCTAATATTTGATATATAAAACAATTCGAGGTCAATAATATATTATAATTATTATACGATAATTAATTATATTTAAAATTCGATTGATTATATTTAATATACATATGTACATTTAAAAATCATTTATGTTATGTTCCAATTTCTGCATGAAAATCCACAATCTGGTCATTGTTAAACGTCATGTTAGATGAACAAAGTATTGAAACGTTATAATTTGTACTTAATCTCCAATTTAAAGAATTGAAATTCTATAGGACTGGGATTCTTAATAAATCCGAGACCAAAATTTTTATCACGAGCGTGACTCGACGAAAGGATCAATTTAATAGATTGGTTCTTTGCGACTTCTGTGCTTAATCACTAGAAAGCCGGCCAAATGGCTAACAATGAAAATGACCAGAAGACCAGCTATGTCGGTAACGTAGTGATTTGGTAAGTAGCCATATTTTTCCAGCACCCCTAGTCCGCTGGAGATGCAAGGCTCTTCCGGATCCGGGGAACAATCTTTGACATTAAAGATTCATATGTAAAGAGCGTTTCCCAATCGTCAAATGGTACGATTTTATCTTGGAATTTTTGCTATCCAATGATTTTAATCCAATTGCAGAAATATTTCTGTTCAAAAAGACTTGAAGAAGACACTACGTTTCGAAAATGAAAAACATTATAAAGACGGAAGACTAATTAATTAGATAAACTAAATAAATTACGATTTTAAAATGAAAAAGATTTACAGAAGATGAAAGACTAATTAATAGTAAAATTCGATAGGTTTTTTAATAACTAAATTTTTAATTATAGTATAGAGTTTCATGTAATCGATTCAACTTTTAACTGTGCGTTGTCATATTAAGTTTCATGCAATCAATTTGAATTTTAACTGTAAAATTCTGGTAGAAATCAATAATAATAATATTATAATGATATATTTCGATACAATAATACTATACTGGGATAAAATACGAGTTCGATGAAACGAATTACGTACTTATATGATCTATCAGAAGCCATTGTGTCAAGGAAACTGCCTCCAGGCCGTAATAGAACTGCGACAGATATTTGAGCCACGCGATACCTGGCGCCAGGTGACTGTAAAAATTTATAAACGAATCTATCGAATCCATACACACTGGTTTTCATTAAAATTCATCTATTCATTTATATTTCATCTGTGTTTTTTTCGTCAAAAATGTATTTTCCGAACATTTTAGGAATCAGTAAATAATAACAAAGAAGAAAAAAGAAAGATACGAAGAATTCTCTATTTACGAAAATGGAAAGAGGTTTAATTGCTTATCTTACGGTTAAAAGACTATGCGAAGAAAACTCATAATTGAATATTACTTTTGTTACTTAAGGAGACAAATTTAAAATAATACACATTCCAAATGTAGAAATTAAATTCGTATTGTTAAATTATACTATTAAATTTAATTGAAATTTGTAATCTTACTCGAGATGCAAGTAAATCCCGCAGAACATCAGGCCAAGGAAATCCAATGGCACGGAGAACAGCGAGGCAGTGCTCACTGATTGAAACGACGCTGACAAAAACAAACCTGCTCGACAAATTAGGAGACCTCGTTTTTCGTTTCGTTGCATTCATACTCGAAATACTAGTTTTTATAAACTTTTTACAAAACTTTGTACACTATTAATAAAACTCGTAATAGTACGATGACCGAGCAGAATTCTTCTAAAATAACATTAATAAAAAATACCATGAAATGAAACTCGTATCACTGTGATGATTGAGCAGAATTCTTCTAAAAGACAATTAACTGAAATAACATCAATAAAATAATCGTGTTGCTGTGACGACGACCGAGAAGAATTTTTCTACGAAAATGTTTTTTGACTTCTCCTTAATTCTTTTTACAAGAGGTAAAAGTAAGAAGATGCTCACCAAGAGCTGAGGCTGAAATGGCGCAGACAACTACAGGTAGTGCGAAGTAAACGAATCCTAAAAGTCCACCCTTCAGCCCGGTGATTGCGAATATGAAAGCCGAGTAGAGCAATGGCTGCATTATCGCCCCGGGTATCTGAAAATTTCCACGAAATCCAGTATATCCGTACATTGAAATCGGAAATTGGATTTCGCCGCCATTCAACCAGAAATGTAATATCTCGGAAGCATAAAAGCTTCAGTATACAATTAAATCATGGCTGGCCTACTTCATCTTTTTCCGATAAATACGTCCAATGAATATATAAAACAGATTAATATTTATTTAACTGTTAATTTTCCTTCCTTTTTCCTTAAAAGACAATCTACTTCTATCAAACAAAATAGTTCACAAACAAACTTTATTTGTTTTTTTGCATTTCACTAATTAGCATATGATAATAATTCCAAAATTTCGTCAAGTTTATTTCCACAAATATTCACAATAAAAATTAAAAAAAAAAATCACTTACTACTGTACTCTGTAATGTATCAATATGCATTTTACATTGTCTAAAATTGAACACAAAATTCTAGGCACTGATAAATGACTTAATAATCTCACCAGAACGATAACCTTGCTGATGTAGTATGGCGTCGGGCCATAGAGCCCGCTGGCGATGTCGCGCAACAGAAGTGGCAGTTCCCGCGGGAACGTATAGAAAACAGCATAATTAAACGTGAATACAATTTCAACCACCACCAGGTATAGGAGACCTTGCACGTTCTGTATGCTTCCTTGATCTAATGGGTGGCCGGTGATATTCATGTACGGCAGCGATATCAGCAACCCTACAAACTTTAAACGATCGTCTGTCTGATTTTTTGGTGACCTGGGATTTCAACGAAATCAGGAAAGGTGAATTGATTTGCAACAAGATGGACTCGAGGACTCGTAAAATTCGAGTTTACGTCAAGTAAGGTGGGATTGGTCGCAGCGATTTGCATACTTGAGTCGAATTTAAATCTCGTCCGATTTGAATTTCAAATGCGCGGAATATCGCGTTCAACGAGATTTTGAAAATTAGGAGGGGATGCATTTTGAAGATACTCGCACTTTATTATACCGATTGGAGAATCTCGCGGCTCGGAGATCGCGAAAGCAATTAGAACTTCAGAGTTCGGATCTTTCATCGATTGCCTCTAAACGAGACGCTGTAAATACTTCGATTTCGCCAGAAAATCGCGAGACCTCGACAGAAACGAAATCCACGAAATTCCCACTTCACAATTCCAAAATTCGATGGCACGAATTGTCCGAAGACAATTCTTGTTCGTACGTAAAACACTGCCGTAGACGCAACATTAGTCGAATGGTTTCGGATTATCGGGGAACTTGGGACTTAACCTACTACTAAATTTGAAACACGTGGAACAGTGGCCCTAGCCGCGATACAGGAACGCTTCACAGCATAAAAGCGTAGGAAGGAAGAAGCGAAAGAGGATCAGACGGCTTAAACGTGGTCAAAGGGAAAGTTCGGCGTGTAGGAGACAGAGTCTGATATCTCACCATGCACGTTATAAATCGCAAGAGCAGAGAGGCTGAGTTCTTCTTGCAGTCGACGTATGTACGCCAGATGAGCCAACGGAGCTGCGTCAGTGTGCGAGCTTTCTTGAAATCTTTCGGGGACAAGGAGGCCTGCGAGAATATTGCCGGCAGCTCGCTCGATTCCGCAGCGCAGGAGTATTCGATCAGTTTCGACACCCTTTGACCGTATTTCGATTTCTCGTACTGATCGCAGATCCAATTCACCTGTGCGTGTGTGCGTGTGATCATTGATTCATGCGACCTCGTTGCGGGTAATTCGTACGGAAAGACACTTTTCTTTCCTTTCTTATCGGAGGTAGGACGTGTCGCTTATAAAAAATATGTTGAAAAAAATATTTTACGATGAAATAGTGTGAAATTATTTGAAAGAAAAGAATAAAATAATTTTAGTAAAATTAATGGCAATCAAAACGTGTATCTAGGGAAATGGTACATCGAGTATTAGGTTGTACAGGGCGTCTCGTTACTCGAGTAGGATGAAAAAACAAGAGGAAGTTCCCGAGGAAATCGAATTTGAAAATTTGCCAAGTATACTTGAATTGAGTTAATTCCGTAGTGGACAGGCGCGAATAATCGGCACGAGGGTACTCTATGCGTAAAAATAAGTGAAACGTGTGGAATAAAATGTTTTCGTTCAAGAAAACTTGCTTTGGTACTTGATAAATTTTTCAAACTTGATTTTCTCTTTCGCTTTAATGAAGACATTTTATCCTTCCTTTTCGACTCGTTCTTTTACGCAGAATCACTTCCTACTATTATTATTAGTATACAGAGACACCCTGTATATACACCGCATATTTTCTTATCTCATCAAATTTTTGAGAGTTTCGTTTAGAGTACCTTTTTATAGCTTTCAACTTCTTTACCACGAACGATGGACAACTGAGAAACGAAGAACTCGGCGTTGTTGAAGGTTGGAGGACAACGTAGTTTCAAGCTGAAAATTGTGCGCCTGTTTTATGAAATAGCATACGAATGACGTAGCAATCGAATGATAAAATATTTCCTTTCTTTCTGAAGAAAAAGTAGCAATTTGTAATTTAAATATGTTAATATGTGAATTCTGCGTTGAAGTCAGAAAATAAATCAGAAACTCTAATTTAAATCAAAATATTCGAATTTTCGAAAGGACGTACAATTTGAATTAGAATAAACTAAATATTCCGTGCATACAGTTAATATTGATTTACCGAGATGTATAAA